TTTTTTTTTTTTTTTTTCTTTTTGATTTTTCGAGACAGGGTTTCTCCGTAGCTTTTGGTTCCTGTCCTGGAACTAGCTAGCTCTTGTAGCCCAAGCTGGCCTCGAACTCACAGAGGTCCGCCTGCCTCTGCCTCCCGAGTGCTGGGATTAAAGGCATGCGCCACCACCGCCCGGCTCAAGAAAGCTTTTTATAAAGGGTTACATAATAAAAAAACAAAACGCCCTTATTTTCCTAAAATTGGTCACAATATACACAACTGGGAAGTACCTGTTGCCAATAATCATGGTCCTGCATGGACTCAGATCTTTATGTCCACAAGTACCTTACCTATAACTCTTAGTTGTCAGGTTTGAGCAACAAGTATTTGGATAAACTGGATAAACTATCTCGTCAGTTCTATTTTTTTCTTAAGACTATGTATCTTAGCTTGGTGGTGGTGGCAACATGCACCTTTAACCTCAGCACTCAAGAGGCAGAGGCAGGCAGATCTCTGTGAATTCAAGGTCAGCATGGTCTACAGAGCTAGTTCTGGAACAATCAAAGTTACAGAGAGAAACCCTGTTCTGAAAAACAAAAAGAAAAAAAAAAGGGGGGGGGGGACACGACACACTATATATCTTAACTTAGGCTAGTCTCAAACTCCTGTCCATAGCAGCCCAGTCTCCTAAGTGCTAGGGCTATAGGCATGAACTATCACACTCAGTTAAGATGTTCTTTTGAAAACTCTGAGATCAAACTCCAGATTAAGAACTGTAATCCCAGCTCTGGGAGGTTAAGGCAGGAGGCCATCTAGGACTACAGTGAGACTGTCTGGGGGGTGGGGGAACCATGACTTTATGATTTATACATTGGGAAGAGATATGCACCTACACTTAGAATAATTAACTGGAAAGAAATGCACCTCAAATTAGGTAACAGATAATACACCATAATTTAACAAACTCCACAAATGTTTTTTATAAATGAAAAACATTTTCTCAACAATTTCTCTGCACTCTCTCTCTCAGTTCCCAAAGTTAATAATACCTAGAGAACTTACCAGAGAAGTTGCCATGGATGGCAAAACTGATGCCAGTGGCCCGCTGTAAGGTCAAGTTGTACAGAAACATGGTGACAAGCAAAACTGAGACGCTCGGTACTTGAGTCTTGGCTATACCAACAGTATCAAGTCAAAGTAGGCTACAGATTAAAAACAAACAGAAACATTACTGTTTTTAAAAGAACTTCTGCATGGGGATGTCTGGTTGAAGACAGATGAAGACAGACCCAGCAGAGCACCACATTTATCACTGGGAGAGCCTTTTCGGGCTGGGATGGGGCTCATTGTTAGAAATCTTTGCTTAGCAGGCACAAGACCCTGGGGTGCATTCTCAAGGGGAAGGAAAGACACAGCATCATTTTTATGCCAGGCGCTATTCATACACTACACCTTTACTTTTCATCTCAGAGTCCTACGAAGCCTACATATTGGCATGACCCTGCATTCTGAGCGCCGAGTGACTGAAGCAGGAGGATATCTGCAAGTTTAAAACCAATCTGAGCTACGAGCTATACAGAAAATGCCAGAATGGACAACACTGCAATATACACTGTCTTAGGTTTTTCTTTTTTCCGGAGACAAGGACTCATCATGTAGTTATGGAACTGAGAAATTCTCCTGCCCCCCCCTCCCCCATACCGAGATGAAAGGTTTGCACATATACACCCAGCAACAGTTTAAGGAGGAATAAATAAATAAATAGCCAGGCATCATGACTCTCTTTTATAATCCTAGCCCTGGGGAGTCAGAAGAATTACTACAAGTTCAGTGGCCAGCCTAAGCTAATACAAAAACAAAAGCAACAACAAAAACAAACTATGGTCAAGGAAACTAAAGCTCAAAAATTACATTCATTGCCCAACATAGAGAGTCAAGTGCCAGGAACTAGAACTTGTTCAATTAACGCAACATGCCTTTATCTTTTTTGTCAGACAAATGAAAACTTACGGTTAACTGTAGTCCACATTATTCAAAACTCAAATGCCCAGTAAAAAACTTCAGATCCATTTCCCAACGATCCAATTCTTTTGGGAATAAATCTTTCCACCTTTATCTTCCCATATGCTTATATATGTGTAGAAAAATTCAAGAACACACATTTGTGCCATTTTATGCCCTCTGTTTAACCAAAGGTTGGGTACTAGATATACTCCCTATGCTGCAAGTTCTCTATGAATTTGTGAGTCTCCAATAAAGGGTCTTTTATTTGCTACATATTCAATGGTTACATTATAATTCAATTAGCCAAACTGCTAATACTACACATACAGATTTATGAGCTTACCTCTAATATTTTTTTTCCCAAAAGTGGAACTGGCAGATAGCGGGATTTACAATTTTAAATTGTTAAACTTTGGTACTTCCAAACTGACTTTCAGGGGCACCATAAGCAGCCAAAGTGATGTTAAGACTTTGGACAGTTGCTTTAAACAGATAAAAACGGGCGTCTTGGTCAAGTCTTCACTTGCATCTCCTAAGGCTCTATAGTTGAGAATTTTGTGTTCGTGGCGATGGGAAGGAAACCCCTGGCCTTGTGGTTACACTTCAGATGGGCGATTAAAATAAACGCCTATTCACTCAACGAACAACTAAACTCAACGGGTTTCCTACCATATGGAAGGAGGAATAGCACACGAGTACTCCAACACTAAATAGCAGGAGACTTTAACCGCCAACCCTTGGAAAGCTTCCCAACCTAGGAAGCCCCTCCCCCAACCTAGGAAGCCCGATTTCGCCGGTTCCAAGATCACCTCTCGCCATCTTCGGGCAGACACTATTGACCTTTATTTTCGTTTTTTTTAAGCAGGAAAAAAACAGGTTCAGAAGACAAAACCAAGTTCAAGCCAGATTCTCAGATCCAAAGACCGTTTCTGTTGTTTACAGCTTTTGAGCAAGCTGAGTTCTTAGCCCTTCCCGTTAGGGGCCGACTCCCCCCCCCCGGGGGTCTCACTGTCCCCCCGCTCGGGCCTCCCATCCCCCGAGAACTCAGCCTCAACATCCCCGCGGGCCGTGTCCCTGAAGGACTCGTCCCCACTCTGCGCCCAGAAGCAGGGGAAGAGCCCAGGAAACCATTCGCGCACCGCAAGCGTTTTCCTAACCTCCTCACGCCTACCGAATCTCTCTGGCCTAAAACGGCCTCTGCGACGCCCGCCAGAGCGCCGAGCAGCTCTCTCGCGTGACGCTTCCCGCTTCTTCTGCGACAGAGAAGTTGCCAGGCCGCTTTCCTAGCCTGCTGGAAGAAGGATGGCGTCGGTATCCGATGGATGCTGAAGTCCTTCAAAGGCCTAAACCACAGCGAGGGCTAACGCGCCGGCGTCCGCCATTAGCCCTCAAGACGGGCCTTCGGGTGGCGCGCGACGGGAAAAGGAATCCAGCCTCCGCCTGATAAATAGGCGAAATTTAAAAATGCTTTTCATCGAGCGTCTTCGGTCTTTTAAGTTATTTAAATATCACACATTACAGTGAATTTGCTGTAGAATAGAAAATTAATTTTAAAACTAGACTTCAAATTCGTTGATCGGGCATTTCTGTGGACAGCCCAAAGGTCACCGCGCCAACGCAGAGGGGACCTCGCGATCCCGGAAGCGCCTAACAGGAACCAAGATGTCGGATCTAGAGTCCCCAACGAAGTTGTCAGCGCCTCCGCCACCGGAGGGGGTGGGAGGAGGCCGCTGCTCCGAAATCTCCACCGAGCTCATTCGCTCTCTGACACAGCTGCAGGAGCTGGAAGCTGTGTACGAACGACTCTGCGGCGAGGAGGTGGGGAGCTGATCCTCCTTTTTTTTTCTGGAGGAATCCAGCGGCACAGGACATCCGAGGCGTCATTCTCTTTACCAGGGGAAGCTAACACCTACCCGAGACGCTCTAGTGTAGTCGGGCATTTGGGGACACCTGTCAATTCAAGCTTATTTAGCCTGTTTTCCTGGACTGTCTTCTTTCTTGGTCTGCCCCGGTATTGGTTTCCCTGACGAGTAACGTTGGAAGTGGTGTGTGCTGTATTGGTTTCCCTGACGAGTAACGTTGGAAGTGGCGTGTGCTATTTATGTATACGTACATACATTTTTTATTTGCTTTTCAAACTAAGAATCGCTTTGGCCTGGGAAAGTCAAAAGAAATGAAAGATTCTTCTCGACTCATGTAAGGGAGACGTTAACTGCAAATTAGCTTGAAGTTTTAAGACTATTTTGTAGAGAATGATTGTATGTGTGTGTAATTTCAGCCTTCCAGTTAAATGCCGAGCTTTGTAGGAGATTGGACATTTTCTTATTTTGAAAAGACCTCGTCTTTGCCCGGACTGTCTTCAGATTTTCTACCTTCCTGTGGCATCCTGTTACACTGCTGGAATTGTAGGCAAGCTCACAACCCTCTAGGAGGGTTGAGGTCTCTGCTAAGAGTTGGGATGTTAAAGGCTAAGGCAGGGCACAGCTGTCTAGCCACCGACACTCATTTCATCTCTTGTCCCGTTGATGTATAGGTGTGGACAGAATTCTGATTGCCTTTCAGTTGATAGCTTGCTACCCCTGTAATACCCACTTCTTCTGTGGCAACCTGATGCTGTCAGTTCATTTTCCAGTGTGGTTGGAGTCCTTGCTAATCAGATGTAAACACTGATCTAAAAGTTTGGCTGTTTTTCCCAGTGAACTTTTTTCTTTTTTTCTAACTCTTTGGAAATTGCTTTTGTTTAGCTACTACATTTTATTCTGTTTCTTTTTAACATTTGTGGGTAGGGGCAGCAAGTGTGTCATAGCCATAGCACCCGTGTAGAAGTCAGAAGACAATTTTCAGAATTGGCGTCTCCTTCTACCATGTGAATCCGAAGGATCAAACTCCAGTCATCAGACTTGATGGCCAGAGTCATCTCTCCAGACCTTGTTTTGATTTTGAGACAGGGTCTCATGTAGCTCATACAGGCCTCAAATTGACCACATAGCTAAAACTGGCCTTAACTTAAATTGGCTTGTCTCCTGAGTGCTGGGCTGAAAGGGACAATCACCACACATCCGGATTAGCCACTAAACTTGAGAGCCCACTTGTGTGGCACACTCTACAAATAGTATTGAGTAAACATTTGTTTGTTCCCATGGTGTTACTCATCTGCTAGATGGAATCAGATATACTTGAAATGTGTGCTGTGCATGCACCTATAATGCTAGCACTTGGGAAGGAAAAGGCAAAAGTTCAAGATCATCCATCCTGTGTTTCAGAATAGGTGAGAGACCACCCTGAATTGCATGAGACTCTATCAAAAGAAATATGAGAAAGATTTCATAGCCAATGATTTAGTCTGCCACAACAAACCAAAGCGGCATGGATGTCAAAGGGACTAGTGGGAGGAAAAATTTCTGAAATGGGATTCACTTTTTAGCTATGTTGAGTTACATCATTTTGTTTGTTTTGAGACAGGGTTTCTCTAGTACTGACTGTCTGGGAGCTTGATATATACACAAGGCTGGCTTCAAACTCACAGAGATCCAACTTCAACTTCCTCTTCCTCCCAGTGCTGGCATTAAAGATGTGTGCCACTATACCCAGCGAAGTTAGATAACTCTAAAAGTTCTTAAAGTTCCTTCTTCCTAGAGATAGGGATAGAGTTTAATATTTGAACACTTGCCTGGCATGTACAAGGTCATAAATTTAATTCCCAGTAACTTAAAAAGGAAATTCCTAGCCGGGCATGGTGGTGCAGAGGCAGGTGGATCTCTTGAGACTATACTGGTCTATGGAACAAGTTCCAGGATAGCAAGGGCTACACAAAGAAACCCTGCCCCTTCCCCGCCCTCCAAAAAAAGAAAATTCCTCATACCCATTCTGAGTTAAAATGTTTGTTCATGTTCCAGAAAGTGGTGGAGAAAGAGCTGGATGCTCTTTTGGAACAGCAAAACACCATTGAAAGTAAGATGGTCACTCTCCACAGAATGGGGTAAGTATATATCACAGCAAAAGTTGTACTGCACAGTGGGAACCACTGGATAAAATTAGTTTTCTTAGCCAGTAGTCCAGGCCCTTAGGAGGGTAAGGTGGGAAGCTTGCTGCAAGTTCAAAACTAGCCTAAGCTACAGAGTGAGTTCCTATCTCAAGAAAAGAAAAACAAAGGATTCTTTTTCCTAACTTTGTTTTATGAAATGACAAGCATTTGAAATGGAAAGGAGCAATAACTCAAAGTGAGCACCTAAGGATATACACTTTGATAGTTATCAAAAGTTACTGGAACTCAGCATGATGGCTCAAATCTGTACTCAACCCTTGGAGTTGGAGGTATCAGGAGTTCAAAGCCAGAATGGGTCATGAGACCCCAAAAAAGAACAAAGGTCTTTGGCTTTAAACTACAATCAAGCGTGGTGCTACACAACTTTAAAATCCTAATACCTAGGCAATAGGAGCAGGTGGATATGGAGTTCAAGGCCAGCTTCAGCTACATAGTGAGTTAAGAGGCTAATCTAGGCTATGTAAAACCCTATCCAAAAGTAAAACAAAAATAATCACTATTGGCCCACGTATAACCTTAATAGAGATGCAAATTTTGGCCAGGTGGTGGTGGTACATGCTTTTAGTCCCAGCACTTGGTAGATCAGGTAAGCAGGTCTGAGTTTGATACCAGACTATAGAGTGAGTCCAGGACTACACAGAGAAACCCTGTATCAAAGAGAGAAAGAAAGAAAGACATTCTGAAACCCATGAATTACAGACTATTTTGGTGGTTGGTGGGGTCCAGAAATATGTATTTTAATAATTCTCCCAGGTGATTCTGTTTTGCAATTCTAGTTTAAGAACTACTGCTTTTCATCTGGTGGTGATAGAGGTGGTACACTCCTTTAATTTCAGCACTCAAGAGGTAGAGGCAGAGGAATCTCTGAGTTCAAGTTCAGTCTGGTCTACAGAGCGAGTTCCAGGATAGCAAGGGCTACACAGAGAAACCATGTCTTGAAGCTCCCCACGCCCTGCAAAACTGCTTTTATCAATTTTGTATATTTGCTGAGCATTGTTGTATATTTCTATAATCTAAGCATTCAGGAAGCCGAAGCAGGAAGATCTCAGTTTGAGGCCAGCTTGAATGCCTGCCTCAAAAAGGGGTTGAGAGGGACAAGGCACCCTAGGCGTGGTACTAAACACCTGTAATCATAACACTTGGAAGGCAAGAACAGGAGGAACAAGGAGTTCACTGCTTACACAGGCTACCCAGGCCTACATTAGACATCATTATCAAAGCCAAACACAGAGAAAGAGTTGAGGACGTGGCTCAATGATAGAGCATTTTCCTAGCCTGCATAACACCATAACACTCTGGGCGCGCGCTCTCTCTCTCTCTCTCTCTCTCTCTCTCTCTCTCTCTCTCTCTCTCTCTCACACACACACACACCCACACACACACACACACACACACACACGCCTATTCCCCCTTGTTCATTCCCTCTGCCTCTGCAGATAAGTATGCCCTGACAATGTCTGTCTCTAGTCCCAACCTGCAGTTGATTGAGGGAGATGCAGAGCAGCTGGCTGGAATGATCACCTTTACCTGCAACCTAGCTGAGAATGTGTCCAGCAAAGTCCGTCAGCTTGACCTGGCCAAGGTAATCCCACTGAGCTTTGATGTTTGATTCCCTCCCAAATACTAAAAGGGAGGGAAGGGAAGAAGGGAGGGAAGAAATTACATTAGAGACTAGAAAAGAACCATCCAGTAAAAATGCAATAGGAATTACCAGAACCAGACAAGATACTACATGAAAACTCTAGATCATTAGCTCTTATGCATATAAAAATAAAAATCCTCAATAAGCACTAAGAGCAAATCCAACAACATATAAAAAGAATTATGTACGAAGACATACAAAGACCAGTAGCATTTGTCCTAGGAATGCAGAGGTGGTTTAACATAAGAAAGTCAAGTAATGTAATGTCAATGAAGGGAATGGGGATGCAGCTTGGTAGAGCATTTACCTAGCATGCACTAAAGCCTTAGATTAGATTCCAGCATAGCAATGTTATGTTTCTGATATTACATACATCTTGATTCAGTTATAAAGTTAACAAAATAAATATAGATTATTCTCATTCATGTTTCTATTAAAATGAATTAACCACATTTAATTAAATCATGGTATCTGCAAGTGTCTTGATTATCACCCATAACAGTTTTATAAGATAAGTGGTTATGGTAGTATTTTTAATTTGCCAGTTAAAGCTGAAAAGGACTGACGGTTAACTAGGTTCTGACCCTAAATTTCTCTACGTTCTGAAGAGTGCTTTGAAGGAATAGGATATTGTCTTTAACAAAGACTTTTTGCAGAACCGCCTCTATCAGGCCATTCAGAGAGCTGATGACATCTTGGACCTGAAGTTCTGCATGGATG